CGAGGCGTAGCTGGCAAGCGGCAGAGACGGAGCAGGCCGACCACCAGCTGGCCCAGCCCAAGGGAGGTAAGGCACCCGCCGGAAAAGGGGGGAAAAATGGCGGACAAAAAAAATGGCGGACAGCCTTGCTTGGCGACCCCCATGAAATGGTCGATCGACCCCAAATGGGGTCCCGACCCACAGGTTGAGAACCACTGGTGTATGGTAATTGATAGCCCTTATAATATTTTATGTAAACTTCACTTCACCCCTCTCCCAGTTCTACGTGCAACTGAAGGTTGTTTTTATGTTTGGATCCTTTTACAAAACTATAATTTTGTAAATTCCCCACTTGTTCAGCTGCTTATCAATTGTCTGACAGTAGCACACACCCTCTTCTGCAACAAAAGCTTCAGAAGAAGACTCATTTTCAGGGCTATTATTCCACCACTCTAATTCAAATTTATTCTTTTTTTTACCACTAGGTAAGTGTCTGTCCGTAATGGAGTATAATTAACGTGAAACCGTTTATTCAGGTCGCTTGGAATCTCAGTATGCTGATACCTAATCTGCTTATTATACAAAATAACATCTAATCTTTTTCTTAACGTTTTTTTTCTTCTGCTTCCTCTAACAAAATATTGAAATATGCAAATTAGCACGGAGGCCTAAACCACCTTCAAAATTTATCAGTTCCTCTTTTAATGCTTCAGATGTTCAGATGCCTGGGTGGAACATTGCCAGCATATCAAATTCACATTTCTTCACTTTTCTGTTGACTCCTCCGTTGGACTCTGTCTCCTCGGTCTTCACTGTTGAGCCCAGGGTGGCCTAACGACAGGTAGTCCTCAACGTACGACCACAATTGAGCCCAGAATTTCTGCTGCTTAAGCGAGACGTTTGTTAACGGCATTTGGAAGCTGGCCAAAGCTGTATGAGAACAAAACAAAGCTGAAGTTGAATCCTAACAAAGCAATTCCATTTTTCCCAATGACTCTCTGGTGTTTTTTCTCTCTGCTCCTTTTACGATGAGGCAGGGCTGTGATTCAAGTCTTCTAGACCAGGGCTTTTCAACCTTTTCACCCATTGGACCACTTTTAGGATATGGCAATATCCAAGTACCACCAGTCGCCTAGCAAGGTGTCAAAAACTTGATGACCCCCCCCAAAAGGGGAAAAAGTGATGAAGTACAGGTAGTCCTCGCGAACAACAGTTCGCTTAGTGACTGTTCGAAGTTACAACGTCACTGAAAAAAGTGTCCCCCAAGCCACAGCTGAGCAAGACACCTGCCTGCCCGCCCGGCAGCGCTCTTCCTCCTGTCCGAGGTTTCCATTGTTGTGAGCATTTCTGTTGAGGATTGGAACTGGTGGTGGGGTGGTGGGGTGTTTGGTTTTTAATTCCCCCTGTCTGCTGAGTGGTTGCAGCAGGTTTTGGTCACTTCACATGACCCTGGGACACTGTGATCGTCATAAATATGAATCAGTTGCCAAGCATCTGAATGTAAATCACAAGACCCTGGAGAGGCTGCAACATTCCAGCTGATTGGTGCTTCTTCTGGGCTCAGCAGAAGCACCAGGATCAGCGCCGAGCTCCAGCTGGAGCCTGGCGCTGATCCTGGCGCTTCCACTGAGCCCTGACAGCCCCGAAGAAGCGCCGATCAGCTGGAAAGCAGCACTGATCCTGGCGCTTCCGCTGAGCCCTGACAGCCCTGCAGCTCCAGCCATCTCTCGCTCAGGCTTGTGCGGTGCTGCCCCCGGTTCAGCTCATTCCCCTCCCCTGCTACCCCTTTTCTAGGATGGTCGCGTACCACCTGCCAGGTGCCAATGTACCACAGGTGGTACCTGTACCACTGGTTGAAAAGCCCTGTTCTAGACTCAGGACTGTTATTTGGTAAAGAGGGTGAGGGCATAACTGCGGAGGTCTTTAGCCAACTTTGTACTTCCAGCTGTCAACTCTTTTCCGAAAGCAAGAAAACCTGGCGGTAGTAACGCAAAAGTCTCATCGCCATCGCGATAAGACTGTTTTTGCAAGGTGCTCTCTACGTGGGATTGCTTTCGAAGGCTACTTAGAAACCACAGTCGGTGTGATGCGCAACTGTCTGCACGCTGACAGGCAAGAGCAGTTAACAGTAGACCCATATTCACAATCCTATTCCAGGTGCTAGGCTTGCTTTCAGCAGACTTCTAAAGGCGTGCGAAGTGATAGTTTTAACTTTTAAAGTGCTTAAGTGCTTCGCTGTAATTGGAGGACCCCCTTCTCCCAGTGGAACCGGTCAATCCAGCAGGCTCATTTCAGTCGAAAATGTTGAGCATCCCCTCAAAAATTGTCTTGCATGTATCCGAATTTGCAACCAAAATGTTGGAGATGTGGTAGTATGGATGCTACTTATTATCATATTTGGTGGACATGTAGGGATGTTAAAGCCTTTTGGATTAAGATTTGGTGGAATATTCAACAGATTTTTAAGAAAAAGATAAAATTTACACCGCAGTTATTTCTGCTGGGTATCATGGATAATTTGGATCAAAAAGAAATGAAACTGATGTCGTATTGTATACCAGCAGCAAGGATATTAGTTGCTCAAAATTGGGAAAAAAAGATGTTACCAACTATGGATGATTGGAGACAGAAAGTATCACATTTTGCAGAGATGGCAAAAATATCCGCGTACCTGAAGGATCATTCTCAGGAGAAATTTATCTCAATGTGGAGAAGATGGATAGATTATATACAGAGAAAGTATGAATTGAAAAATTACTATGTAGCTTTTGATTAACAAAAGATGTTTTTTTAAAAAAAAAAAAAATTTTGTATGTATCTTAGTGTTATTTTAGAGTCATAGCAAGTTTATACTAGTGTGTAGTAATATGGAGTAATTGTGAATAGATTTTGATTATTTTGTGTTTATTTCCTAGATTAGCTTTGGGAAGTCCTGGGGGTGGGGGGAAAGGGTAGGTCTGTATTATAGATTTATATGTAGGATTTTTTTAAGGAGGTGTCCGGTGATACCCCAACTGCACAAGACAAGATGGTTGAGTGTGGAAGGGAGGTAGGAAAGAGGGAGGAAGGAGGAGTGGTGGTAGAATGGGAGGAGGAAGGAGTGGTAAGTGGAAGAGGGTGGTGCGGGAGGGGTACACCGGACACGTCTGTGAATGTTTTGTTTAGCTTTATTCTCTTTGGTTGATATTGTGATAAAAGATTCATGTTTGTGTTTTTTAAATGAAAAATAATAATAAAAAAAATTTTAAAAAAATGTTGAGCATCATGGATTATGATAGATTAAATGGCTCAGAGGCAGGGGTCTCGTTGGTGGTCTCCACCCTGTGGAATAGTCTTCCCAGCCTAGTAGCTGACAGCTCTTCATAGGCAGAGTTGCCTACAAAAGCTTTGGTGTGGAACACTTGATGTGGGGGAGAGAGAAGAAGGAAGGTGTGTTTGTGTTCGAACTAAAGCAGCCAAAAATCAGCTAGAAAAGAGAAGTCCGTCCCCCCCCCCCCATGAGAAGGAAGAATGTAGCATAAAAAGAACCCATGATAGGTCAAGATTGAAATATTCGACAAGACTTTGGAGAACTGATGTTACCTAACATTGGTTGCTGTCCATAAATAAAATTATTTCTATTTTAATGCTTTTAGTTATCTTGGCCTTTATTTTTGGTTTTTAACTGCACATTATTATGATTTTTGTCTTATACTACTGTAAACTTTTGGGAGTTGCAAGCTTCAACCATATAAAACTTTAACAAGTCAGTCCCTGGCCAGAGTATACCAAGCTTGGAATAGGCTGCAACTGTTGTAACGTAAATAAGTAACGCTTAAAGTACATGAAATGTAATTTCTCTGTCAAATCAAAATATTTAGTTTAAATGCTTTTAGCACCTGGAAAAGCTACCTTAGCATGTCGTCAATACAGCAAGGAAAGATTTAAAAAATATGTCGTCTTAAATAGGAATTAAAAAGATTAATTTTTGTCAATATAAATGGTACGATCGTACGTAGTATTGTTTTTTGCATTTCTCACTAACGTTTAAAAATGCTTTTTTTGCTTTCATCTAAATAATCACAGAATTTAAGGGTACATATCAAGTTTCTACTATTTTGTAGGCTATGAGAAGACAGATGATGTTTCAGAGAAGACCTCATTAGCTGATCAAGAGGAACTGAGAACTATATTCATCAATCAACCACAATTGTCTAAGTTCTGTAGCAACCATGTCAGGTACCTGTATCAAGAGTTTTGTGTAATTAACTTGCATATTCTCACTGAAAGCCAAAGCACGGTTCTGCCACTGCATCCTAAGCTCTGACCAGTTGTGTTTGTGCAGTATCACTACGTGCACGCTGAAAGAGCGGGGCTTGTACTTCCTTTAGTCATGTGTGTCCCTAAACTTCACCCCTGGATATCTCTGATTTGTTACAAGTTATTGTGGGGTCCTTGATGTACTCTGAGCTTGGCTGTTGTCTTGCAGACATGTAACAACCTCAGGCTAGGATGGGGGGGGGGGATTGCAGGGAGAGGGAGAAGGAAGACTGGGGGGGGGTCCTTGGTGGTCTCTGAGATTGATGGTTTTCTTNGTGTGTCCCTAAACTTCACCCCTGGATATCTCTGATTTGTTACAAGTTATTGTGGGGTCCTTGATGTACTCTGAGCTTGGCTGTTGTCTTGCAGACATGTAACAACCTCAGGCTAGGATGGGGGGGGGGGATTGCAGGGAGAGGGAGAAGGAAGACTGGGGGGGGGTCCTTGGTGGTCTCTGAGATTGATGGTTTTCTTGCAGACATTTCATTATCAAACAAATTAGTTGCTATATTAGGTGCCTGCACCAGACTCTACTCTCTTTTAGCACTGATGACATTACCTAGTTTATAAATATTTATTCAATATTTATTGTGATTTTTATTATTGCCTGTTCACCACCCTGAGTCCCGTAAGGGAGATAGGGCGGTATATAAATTTAAATAATAAATAAATAAATAAATAGTTTGGGTAATGAGACCACCAAGCTCCGAGACCACCAAGGACACCCCCCCCAGTTCAACCCTGAATTACAAATATTCTATTGATACAACTTATTGTTGATATTTACCATTTGACACTGAGATTGATTAATATACAATTGATAGAAATGGTGCAGATAGGATGTTTGGGGGCCATTTGGGGAGTGGCTGCAATCCTCTTTCGAACTGAGGATTGTGAAAATTCACCTGGGATTTTGCAACCCAGTTTGTTGTGCTCCTCTTACATTTTGAGCGGTGGCCTCAGGTGTGAAACTGCAAAGCAGCGAGAGACACACAAAAATTGCTATTGTTATAAATAAATAAACAAACATCAAGCACACTGTTTGGGGAATGAAAGGTCTGGAAGAAAACAAGCCACCTCAGAGGGCATCAAGGACCCCTCAGAAAAAAAAAAAATATTTTAACATTTAATGGCAATGCTAGAGTTTTGTTTCCAAATCTCTCGGACGTTATGTTTATTTAGACCTATAAATACTGCAATAACTCTTAAAATAATTCTCTGTATACAGCATTTAGTGTACTCTGTATATATTATCTGCTTTTAATCTCTTTCCCTTAATTCCATGCATTTTAATTCCTCTCTCTTAGCACTGCAAAATACAACGTTATCACATTCCTGCCTAGGTTCCTCTATTCTCAGTTTAGGAGAGCTGCTAATGCCTTTTTTCTTTTCATTGCATTGCTTCAGGTAAGGATGTGTACAAGGGCTCTGCTCCCTCCCTCCCTCCCTTTATCCTCCAGCAACATTTAATTGTTAGACATTATACAATTGGTTGTAATGTCCTCAGTGGTTGCAGGCGTTCATCATGCAATGTCTTAGGTTCAGATAAAATCTTGGAACTTCTTAGGGCAGTGGTGGCGAACCTATGGCACGCGTGCCAGAGGCGGCACTCAGAGCCCTCTCTGTGGGCACATGTGCCATGCCCCAGAGAGGGCAACTGTCCCTCTTCAACCAGCCACCCGCTAACTCGCCGAGGTCCCACATGGCCGGATGCATCCCAGCACCCATGCGCTCGCTGGCCTCTGTGTGCAGGGGCCGATGGTGTCAGGCAGCAGCCGCCCCGGCCCCTGCCTCACCTTTCCCTGTGACAATGGCACCCCGCCCTGCCTTGCCTTGCCTCGCCTCACCCCGCAGGACGAGTCTCCTGCCCACCGCCCCACCTGCCAGAGACCCCCTGGATCTCCCCCAACCCTGCCTGGCCCCCACAGGTGTCCCTCCCCATGAGCAACATTGAGGTGATCACGCCCACCTTGGCCACACCCATCCAATCTGCCATGACCACCACAGCGACGCCCACCCAGTGGGCCACGCCCACCCGGCACCCGGCGATAAATAAGTGGGTTTGGGGTTGCAGTTTGGGCACTCGGTCTCTAAAAGGTTCACCATCACTGTCTTAGGGAATGAAACTTTAAACTAGGGGGAGGGAGGTGGTTCCCCCCCCCCTAAATATAGCTATACAGTTTTATTGTTTTAAAATGTTTTTAGTATTTTTAATAATAACTAGCTGTACCCAGCCAGGCGTTGCTGTGGCTCAGTCTGGTAAAAGCATGTGTTGCTTTTATGTCCAACAGATGGCGCTGTTTTTCAAAAAAAAGCATGTTTTTACCTGTCACAGGTGTGACATCTATATAATATAGGTATATAAAAACACGCGCGTATTCGAATGCAGCGTTGTGTCAAAATTTCAAAGCAATCGGTGAAGAACTTTCGGAGATTTAAGATTTTGAACAAACGAACATTGACATTTTTATTTATATAGATGTATATTTTGAATTGTAAGCCGCTCAGAGAGATTGACTGAGGTGGGCGGTCATAGAAATTGAACAAACAAACAAATATATTGTCTAACTTCCCAAGAAGCATTTGGACCCTGGGACTTATCTGGGACTTACCCTGACATTTATCAGGTTATAGCATGATCCCGAGGGGGAAAAAAAATGCTTTAAGAGTTGCATTCATTTATAATGAGTTGATTCCTTCAAAGCATCATCTTTTTTCAGACTCACTCAAAAATCTGGAGGGGGGGGAAGTCACCCCACTTTAATGATTAACAAGGAGATGCTCTATCCAAGTGAGGTCCAAGGCACTTAGTCCAAATCATTTTTTGAAGAATGTAAACAATGTTTTCCGAAACACATTATCGCTGTACTAAACTTTAAACTGAAAGTTGCTTTACCAGTTCTTCTTGTCCATATATAATGATAGGTATAATAAAGAGTATCTTTGATTGGTTGTGTAGGAAAGGCCAACTCCTGTATTTTCTTATCTAAATTTCACCCCTCCTGTGATAATGAGTTTAACCCTCCCGACTGAACTTTGTAATTGGGCATATTTTATTTATTTATTTTATTTATTCGATTTTTATCCCGCCCTTCTCCTTACCGGACTCAGGGCGGCTAACAGCCTTATAAAAACAGATACTACAATAAATACCTAATTTAAAACCAAATTAAAAAGAAATATTTACTATGGCCTGGATAAATTAAAATTTCTCTTAAAAACCCCACTAAAAATTCCTTAGGCCAATCCCGCTTGTTGGAAGAGCCATGTCTTTAGGGCGCGGCGGAAGAAGGGGAGATCCGGGATCACCCGGATCTCTGAGGGTAGTTCGTTCCAGAGGGTGGGGGCTCCCACCGAGAAGGCCCTCCCCCTGGAGGTCGCCAGCCGGCACTGTCTGGCTGACGGCACCCTGAGGAGACCCACTCTGTGGGAGCGTACCGGCCGATGGGAGGTAATCTGCGGCAGAAGGCGGTCTCGGAGATATCCAGGTCCGATGCCATGGAGCGCTTTGAAGATGATGNGCCGCCGTGTGCAAAAAAAAAAAAAAAAAAGATTCAATCAATCAATTTCAACTTCTCGCGGGGAAAAAAAAGATCTCGCAAAGTTGGAATTGATTGATTGAACTTTTTAGTCCCGCCCAGTCTGCCGTTACCACTGCAGCCACGCCCACTCAATGGGCCACGCCCACCCAGCACTCAACGATGCATAGGTGGGTTTGGGGTTGCAGTTTAGGCACTCGCTCTCTAAAAGGTTCGCCATCACTGAACTAGGGGGAGGGAAGGTGGTTCCCCCCCCCTTAAATATAGCTATACAGTTTTATTGTTTTAAAATGTTTTTTTAATATTTTTAACAATAATGTATATTTTGAATTGTAAGCTGCTCAGAGAGATTGACTGAGGTGGGTGGTCATAGAAATTGAACAAACAAACAAATATATTGTCTAACTTCCCAAGAAGCATTTGGACCCTGGTACCTATCTGGGACTTACCCTGACATTTATCAGGTTATAGCCATTGTTGCTCTGCACAGATTTTAATCCTGTTTTAAAAAATCTTTGTTTGGGGGTCAAATAAGATTCTCCCAGTTCTTTAAAAGTTGCCCACAGCAATATAGTTTAGAGCAGGGGTAGGCAACCTTGGCTCTTTTATGACTGGTGGACTTCAACTCCCAGAATTCCTGAGCCAGCGTGGCTCAGCTTGGAAAGCTCTCCCTTTCCCCTTAGCATGGCTGGCTCAGGAATTCTGGGAGTTGAAGTCCACAAGTCATAAAAGAGCCAAGGTTGCCTACCCCTGGGTTATAGCATGATCCCGAGGGAAAAAAATGCTTTAAGAGTTGCATTCGTTTATAATGAGTTGATTCCTTCAAAGCATCATCTTTTTTCAGACTCACTCAAAAATCTGGAGGGGGGGGAAGTCACCCCACTTTAATGATTAACAAAGAGATGCTCTGTCCAAGTGAGGTCCAAGGCACTTAGTCCAAATCATTTTTGAAGAATGTAAACAATGTTTTCCGAAACACATTATCGCTGTACTAAACTTTAAACCGAAAGTTGCTTTACCAGTTCTTCTTGTCCATATATAATGATAGGTATAATAAAGAGTATCTTTGATTGGTTGTGTAGGAAAGGCCAACTCCTACATTTTCTTATCTAAATTTCACCCCTCATGTGATAAGGAGTTTAACCCTCCCGACTGAACTTTGTAATTGGGCATTTATTTTGACTTCAGCGTTTCCGTAGAACATAATATAACAAGTGAAAAGATTAGTATATGCTCAGTTAGAAAGTTATTGTGTGACTTCTTTGATATCATGTCAGGCTTTGATATCATGTGTTCTAGTTCTACGTTGTAGTATTTCTTGTATTAAAGGCTGTAAAGATGATGAGATTGAATTTAACGCATTTTCACGTTTATTCTGGGATAAATAAAAATTCTGGGGTACTTTTTTTTTTTTTAAAGTCATGGGGCATTAGTGGTATCTATACTTTATATAGACTTACTGCCGGGCAAGTTTTTAAATCATTTTAAGTTATGATAAAAGGAATTCGGATTACCTGAAATCCTAAACTGACAGTGAAACTTCTCTTGAGTTCACAATTTAGTCCAGATTACAGAATAATGGAAGGGACCTTGGAGGTCTTCTAGCACAACCCCCTGCTCAAGCAGGAGACCCTATGCCATTTCAAACAAATGGTTGTCCAGTCTCTTCTTGTGTGGAGCACCCACAACTTCTGGAGGGAAGCTGTTCCACTGATTAATAGTTCTCACTGTCAGGAAGTGAGAGAGTAGCACAGTTTCTCACTGTTTCTCCTTAGTTCTAGGTTGCCTCTCTCCTTGATGAGTTTCCATCTGTTGCTTCTTGTCCTGCCTTCAGGTGCAGATGGATCAGTAATGCCTAAAACTCAAATTACTAACAATATTTTTGGTGATTATAAGTATATGGTGTTTATTAATAAACAGTTAATCGTAACCAGGGTAGACAATAATTACTTGAAATAACTTGTAATTATTAGTGACCTATTTGAGGAATTTTCCTCATGAGCATTTAACTGGATTCTGCTGATATCGTATTTTATTGACTATATTTTCATACAGTCAATGCGACTAATATTCAAACGTACTTTTCTTTTTATACCTTAGCAAATTCCAGACGTTTCTCCAACAGGACGGTATACAACATTGGTTCCTCTCTTGTTTATTTTAGTTGTAGCAGCGGTCAAAGAAATAATAGAAGATATTGTAAGTAGCCAAACATTTCCTTCATAGCTTTAAACTAATACTCACTTTCAAATAAGATACATGTTTACTTGGGGTTTGCGTCCCACTCGGCCATCCAGGGACTTGCGGGCTCAGCCTGCTCCTCAGTCCACTCCAGGGCCCAGCTGCACCCAACTTAACTTAACTTAACTCCTGAGAGAGGTGCCCAGTTGATGTGAGGTTCAGCTTTCCTACACAGAGTAGCACAGCCTCGTGTTATTCTGCTATTCTCACAATCCTTGGAAGCCTCCGTTTTTAAGGCTGAGGAGCAGACTGAGTCCAACAGGTCCCTGGGTGGACCTGTTGGACTCAGTCTGCTTTGCTTTGCTTGTTAAAACAAAACCACTGCATTAATAAGATGCCAGACTGAAATTTTTTCCCCAAATGCATTGATTACCAGAAGTATATTGAACGTTACTGATTTTGATCAGAGCAAGACATCGCCTCTTCCAGAATTGTGTCCCAAGCTTGGTACAAAACACACCATCTTTAGAGAATAATGGAGACAAGCTCACAGTATGTGTCCATCTATAGCAGGGGTAGTCAACCTTGGCTCTTTTATGACTCGTGGACTTCAATTCCTAGAATTCCTGAGCCAGCTTAGCTTAGCTGGCTCAGGAATTCTGGGAGTTGAAGTCCACGAGTCATAAAAGAGCCAAGGTTGACTACCCCTGATCTATAGGCTAAGAGGAGAATGTTTTTTTAAAAAAAAACATTTTGAACAACTCCCATAGCAAATCACCAGTTTTAAGATGCTCTCTGCAGTCTGCCTGGACAATACAGTACTTCTTAAAAAACTTAAAAAGTTCTGCCTGGGTTTGCATATAGTATAAATCACAAAAAAAATTACCACACTAGTTCTTTAACTTGATTTGTTATACATGTTGTGTGATATGTGTTATGTAATTTACTTTCATATGCAACGTGCCCAATATTTAAAATACTCCGTAAAAGTAGTGTAAAATCTATGTGATTTGTTTCAGAAAAGACAGAAAGCTGATAATGCTGTGAATAAAAAGGAAGTACAAGGTAGGAAGTTTCATATATAACCATTTTTTAGCTGTTCAGTGAGTAAAAATGAAGTCATCTGAAGTTTTCTGAATAACGCTATTTTTATAATTATTTTGTCGTTTATTTATATGATTTATATGGTCACCCATTTCATGGCAGTGAATGTAGATAGTGTTCAAAGTATAAACAAGAAATTATAGTATATATGTGTGTGTGTGTGTGTGTATGTATATGTATATAGGTATGTATGTATGTATGGGTGTGTGTGTATATATATATATATCTATATCTCCATATGTATATCTAAAGCATTTTGATCATTGCTGTGGTTTTATTGTTGCTTTTCATGATGCAGTACTGAGAAATGGAGCTTGGGAGATTGTACACTGGGAAAAGGTATGTGGCTTCCTTATTGTTCAGACTATAAAATCTAAATATGTTTTGGATCCATCCAAAGAACTGAACAGACCAAAATGCTTGTTAAACACCATTCTGAAGTATATTTGTTGTTCAAGTTATTTCATAGCGTTTACCTTTGTGCGGCATTTTGTACCACCCACTATAAAAATGACAGATTATCCCAACATCTTATATTTAGTGATATAACCTACGACAGATAGTCCTTGACTTACAGGAGTTCATTCAGTGACTGTTCGAAGTTACAATGGCATTGAAAAAAGTGACTTACGACTGTTTTTCACACTTACGACCATTGCAGCATCCCCAGGGTCACGTGATCAAAATTTGGACGCTTGCCAACTGACTTGTACTTACGACAGTTGCAGTGTCCTGGGGTCACGTGGTCCCCTTTTGCGACCTTTTGCCAAGCAAAGTTCAATGGGGGAAGCCAGATTCATCTAACAACCGTGTTACTAACTTAACTGCAGTGATTCACTTAACTGTAGCAAGAAAGGTTGTAAAATGGGACAAAACTCACTTAACAAATGTCTCACTTAGCAACTGAAAATTTTGCTCTCCGTTGTGGCCGTAAGTCAAGGACTACCTGTATATAACATAAGATATAAGCAGTTCTGCCCAGAGAAGAGTAACTCTGGATCTAAATCTTTATATATATCACGGTGAATTAGACTGAATAAATGAAATGTTTGGGTTTACCACGTTGAGTATATTGTCCTTAAATGGATTAAATTTAATTTTTGCCCTATGTTTTCTAGTTTGTTGACCATATGTTTACCATATTGATTAAATTGTCATTAATTGTTTTGTTGAAAGTTCTGGTTTATTTTTTATTGCCCAAGTAATCATTCAGTGTGCATATGATCACGAAAGGATTAATTTGTACGCTCTGATACGCAAAGGATTTAGGCAAAAGAATACTATTCTGCGCCAATTGTTCTCGAAGTTGCCATTTCCCTACCATATTAATCCAACATTAGTTGTTTTCACACAGCATATAGACAGTAAATATCCTGGCTTGTCACAATACATTGAATCAAATGAGCCGGTTAGCATATGTTAAGTCACCAAAGTTTAATAGTAACCATACTGGTTAAGTTATAAAAATGCACGTGTATCTTATCTGTTTAAACATGTAAATGTAACCATTGCGCTAACAGTATTATAGTGAAGAATTAAAAAATATTACCTGTCTTGTTTAGCATAGAACACGGCTCTAATTGTTCTTCTAATTGTCTTCGTTCCTTATGGATTGCAGTGTTTACTTAGGGGAAAATAAGCACTGGAGATCTGAAGGACAAATTCATTTTACATATTTTTAGTTCATGACAACTGTAAATCTATATCTGCCCCCATAGAAGTCGATTTCATTGAACTAAGTGAGGATTACTTCTAAGTAGAAACTCTTCAAATTACTCTAGTAATCAACTTTATATAGCTGCAAGAGACTCTCTTTCAGTATTTGACTTGACAGATTTTATACTGTATAAACTTTATCTCTTAGCCAATAAAGACCCCCCCCCCAAATTGCTATAATTTTGTCATTACGCAAGTGCTACAGGAGCCCATAATTCATCAGTAAAATTTATGTATTGAAGTCAACTCCACGTTTTTAATTCTTGGAGGATTACTGTCAGACTGTGCAACATGATCTAAATAAGACAAAGAGCTGACTAATTATGAAGAGGTCTTTTGTATTCATGTCAAGTAACAAAACAGATCACTATGTTTTGTTATTAGGAAACAGTTGTTTTACTTTCTGTCATAAAATGAAAATAGAAATGTGGTCATTCTGTTAAATGGGAGAAAAATATACTTAGATGAGAAAGCATACAGTTTTTAAACCTCTTACCGTCAATTCCATTTTAAGTAGTTTGCTACTTTTATTGCACAGTGTGTACTTAGATACAGCAAAGAACAGGATTATTCTGCTGGTTTCAGACCGTTAACCAATTCCCAGTTTTCTTTCAGGTAGATGTTGGAGATATAGTTTTAATAAAAGGCAAAGAATATATACCTGCTGACATTGTGCTTCTCTCATCAAGGTAGAATTGTTCGTCAATGCTTCCAGAATAGAGTCTGTTTTCTCTCTCCAACTTTGATCCATAATTGCACCAAGGAAATAGAGAATAAACAGAAGTGTTTAGAACTGCTGAAATGTTGCATACATGAATTATTGCTCCTTCGAATAAATAAAGTGCTAGGCTTTCCCGCGCATCTGATTATATTTTCATTCATAGTTTGGAACTCAAAAGTTTTCCCCTCTAATTTTATTTAATTTATCACACAAATATACCCACTGAAAATAAAACGCTAGTTTGCAGCACAGTGTCGTCTTAATATCAAAGCATAACAAAATGTTATTGACAATTTCCTGAGAATATAGCGTTTAAAATGATTCTAAAAAGCCTTAAGTCCTGCTTTCAGAATTCAAAATACTAGATTTCATCCTTGTGAAATTTAATCTTGTTTATCTGTGTTTCCTTGGACAACTCAATATGTGAAATGTGTTGTTTTTTTTTCAAAATCTATTTGATTGGATCATGGTCTCCAAATATATATATTTATAGAGAGTATTTTGCTACTCTTTCCTGAAGATTTTTACAATATGCCATTTTTGTTTGAATAGGCTTTAAAGTGAAAGCTGACACCTCATACTCTTTATTTTGTTATTTTCTATGAGGAAATTGGTGCAGGTATGGCTCTCGTCTACGTCACGCCTTCCTGGTAGAAGTACTGAATTTTAATTTCTAGAAATACCAGAGTACCTCTTTGGGATGGTGGAACAGCCATGACTCCCAATATTTATTAATTCTGTTAAAGGAGTTCCTAACATCTGAAAAGGAAACCCAAGAGATTTTCCTCCATTCCTTTTTCAAATTGTTTTTATTATTTTGCTAAAGTTAAAATAATACATCATTATGCTCTTATTTCCTTTCTAATGCCATGGATTTGTATTACTGTAGGACAGTGGTTCTCAACCTGTGGGTCGGGACCCCATTTGGGGTCGATCGACCATTTCATGGGGGTCGCCATTTTTTTTTGTCCGCCATTTTTTTTGTCCGCCATTTTTTTACCCTTTTCCGGCGGGTGCCTTACCTCCCTTGGGCTCGGCCAGCTGGTGGTCGGCCTGCTCCGTCTCTGCCGCTTGCCAGCTACGCCTCGGCCGGTGCAGGGGGTGGAACTACACATGTGCGGCGCTCCCAGGCAGGGAAAATCCTCGACTTACGACCGGTTGGGTAGTCCTTAACTTACGACTGGTTTAGTCCTCGACTTACGACTGGTTTAGTCCTCGACTTACGACTGGTTTAGTCCTCGACTTATGACCGGTTTAGTCCTCGACGTACGACTGGTTGGGGTCACGGCATTAAAAAGGTTGAGAACCACTGCTGTAGGAGATGATCAGGCTGAGCCCGAGGGAGGGGTCAAACATGTCATCAGTCATGAGTCCCTGTGCGCCCACAAGAGATCTAAGCCCCTCCCACCTTGAATGCCTCTCTTATCCCCCACTCATCTCTCTTGATGCTAGTAGCTCAGATTATAGACTATAGAGAGTTTAAGCTTGCAATAAATCTTTATACTTATCTGAACTGCTTGACAATTAACCCTTCAATGTCTACCTTTTAGGGTTATTTTTGCTATCTCTGAAAACAGTTTAAATAACACATTTTTTCTGATCCAAATTAAATAGATTTTTGAGAAAAAAAAGATGTCAAGTGTTTCCTAACACGCTTTATATAACAATTTCAACTTTCTGTCTCTCTCTTTTTTTTTAAATCCATTTGGTTTCTGTTCTTTTTATTTATTCTGTTATAATTATTATTATTTCAAAACTGGTAAAGGTTGCAGTGGGGGAAATAGTGAAGGTGACCAATGGGGAGCATCTCCCAGCTGATCTCATCAGTCTCTCGACAAGGTTAGAATGAATCAGTTCCAGAATAAATGTGCTTCTGGGTCCTTCTACTAAACCGCAGCAGAAAAGGATTCTGCTGTGAACAGATTGCAGAATGTTTTACTATGCACAAACCTTCATTTAAATGGAAGTACAAGGGAATGTTTGACTTTGTCTAAGCTAATCTGCATGATGACAATATTAAAGCCTCATGTCCAATTAGACTCCCATGTACCTCAGTATACATTCCACGGAAATTAATTGGGCATACTTAAAAATCAGGTTTAGGATTACAATTAATACAAAGACAGTTGATCTACCTCCAGAATTAGTCTATAAAATAAACCAATGACTAAAATTAACTTGTTTCATTGAAGTTATTATGTAGATACCATCTAAAGTTTTAAACTCAACTCCCTTGAGGAAAATGAACTGTCTGGAAACATGAAGTAAAATCATACTATAGAGAACTTCATGTTTTCAGTAATTTTATACAACACTTTCCATATTAACAAATGATATATTTTGAGAATTATACAGGACCCACAGCACAGACCTAAATGTTGCATGCTTTATATCGCATGCATTTGGATTTGTTATTGGATGAACAGCCTGCCACTGCAGTAAAAGCAATATTTATATAGTAGTTTATATACTTGGATTGTATTTTGTTTTGACATCATTGATTTGATCATAGAGATGAATGTCGGTATATAGTAATTTCTGTAATGAAACATATTTTCCTGATTGTTGATGTTCTACGCATTTATTTTCAATATCATTCAGAAAATATTCACTCAAATGTAGGCCCAATTTGATATATAGGGCTTATTTCAAATTACATGTACATAATTTGGTAGCTTTCCGGGGCAATCCTATGCGTACGTGACTATTCAAAACTAAACTGGTTTGAATTGGGTAGACGTGCTTCCTAGATAGATGTGTAAAGGATTGCACAATATTTGTTAAATTGTATGAAATATATCCAGATTTAAATATGTTTCATATACTGAAAGTGAAATAACCTGCATGCTAATTTGGAGTCAATTACAGTTTCAGAAAAAACTGGCCTTTAAAAAGTAAATGTAAATTGAAGAAATTCCTGTTTGAATATGGACGTGCTTTGCAACTTTACCAAATTTTCAATATTTATTAAATATATTTATGACATCAACGCAAGGTCAACATTATATGTATTTTGGGAGATATGCTGGTATTTTCATACAGTGCATTTAATTACAATTATGTTGACTATGATTTTTGTCTTTTTTTTTTTTTTTTGTCTTCAGTTTCTGGAGTTTACTTCCTGTTTCCAGCAAAAAAAACCCACCCATTGGATAAAATAGATTTGCTTAATAACTGCCATATTCGCTTAACGACCACCGCAAAAGTCATAAAATCAGGCGTGGTCACATGTTGACTTGCTTTGTGATTGCAATGACTTATAATTCTGGGCTCAATTACAGTCATATGTCAAGGACTTCCTATATGTTGCATAATGGTTTATGTTACTTTATTAAAAACTAAAAAAGTTTATTTTATGTTATTTAAACCTGTGGATTGCAAGTTTAGTTTCTTGCCAAACTAGCTTGCTTTTTCTGCCTAGCACTTTGCAAGGAGATTTTAAGATCTGGAACCATTTAGTTTCTACCAGTGCATTAATGAAGACAATATGAATCATTTTCTTTACACATTTTAAGGGTCATTTTCTGAAAGTGTAAATTGCTAGTTAATATTGTTTTAACGATGATAACATAAACTAAAGAATGATGTTGTATTTCAGTGAAAATAGATTCTGGACTGCTTAATTTATAAAATGGATCTTCTCTTTTCTATAAGTGAGCCGCAAGCTATGTGCTACATTGAAACATCAAATTTAGATGGCGAAACTAATTTAAAAATACGACAGGTAAGAAGTTAAGTTTTCCCCCCCGCTCTCTGTTTTATGTATGTTGAGATGGAATGTCTGTATTGCTCCAAGGTAATTCACAGTGCATAATTCACAGTATGAAGCAGAATCTTAAAAGGGCAAAAAAAAAAATGCACTGAGAAAGAGGAACATTTCATTTAAGTCCTCAAGAGATGTAGGCAGTGATCCAAAGTGTATTGCATACCATTGGTGTTAGTCTGTTATTTACATAAAGAAGCGTCTGCATGTTAAAAAACCTGGCTTTACCTGTAAAATATGAATGATGTATATTCCTTCTATGCATGAGTTTTCAGAATGCTAAGTATAAAAATTAATAATGCTTCCATTTTATGTTTCCAGTCTTCTCAATATTTTCATTTTTATTAGGCTTTTGACTTTATACTCAATTTTGTGAAAAAATCTTACATGGAAAATTGGGCACTGCTGGTGAACAGGGAAGAAAAATGAGAGGACAGTATCATATATGTATATAAAGATGAACAGAATTTTTTAATGAAAATATATAATTAAAATATGAATATGTTATCTAATCAGCTCTGATAAATAGGGTTAGCATAAACATGGGTTGAAATGGGTGAGTGCAGCTTAGTGCAGAGATGAAACATTTGAAAACATTTTGCTTTTAGTTGACTTAAATTTGTCACCTGTGCATAAAATTAGGGCAAATATCAACAATTATTAGCAACTAGCAAGTTTAATCAGTCATACATTTTGTATTTGGCTTAGATGTGAGGCACAGTTTATTGCTCCAAACAATATGACATCCTGTTCTTAAATAAAAATGAATCAGTTTTCAGTGCCTTGCTAAATTATATGGAATTTAAATAAAAGAGCTTATAAAACTGAAGTTAACTGCAGGATGAGTTTGCTTATGTATAATATGATTTACCATTACTGGTGAATGCAACTAATTAATAGATGTAAACACCAATATATAAGACGTCATAAGCTTGTGTTACTTATTCTTAATTTTTCATGATTGCATTACCGAAAATTTTGTTCAAACAGGGCTTACCGCTGACCTCTGATATAAAGGACATTGACAGTTTGGTGAGACTTTCAGGCAAAATTGAATGTGAAAGTCCTAATAGACATCTCTATGACTTTGTTGGAAATATTAGACTAGACAGTCACGGGTATGTAAACTTTGGCGTACAATTTCTTTCATAATATTTCTAAACTGTATAAAAAATAGAATATTGATATTGGTGGAAAGAATATTTTCATTGCTGCATTTTAACAACAAAAAAAATTATATGTGTTGATTGTATTAATTTCAGTTGATTTTCACTGTTTAAAGTTCTGGTGATTTCACCCCCACGCACACAGACACAAACACCCATTTTATACAAAAATATTAATTCAACGTACTTATTCATCCTGCTATTTTAAAATAGGTTGGCCATTTTATTTCAGCATCATTGTTCAAACTTTAAAGCTTGGGGATAGAAAGGGAAGGTGGCAAAACAGATTTTACTCACGAAAATAACCAACCTTTGACCTCACAAGCATTTATAATTATGGTTTGGCTTTTACTCTTCACTTTACACAGACACGCATTCACCTCTGAGATCTATTTCTAACCATAACAATTTAAAATGAATGCCTCTCTTATCTGAGTCCTTAACACCACTACTCAAATTTCAACTGGTATTTTTCTCCAAATATCCTAAAGCACATCGCTTTTCATCCATTATGCCCATAGACATTTTCTATCTCATATCCGTGATCCACATAACTATTTTTTGAACTGAACTAGATTCTTAACATATTTTAATAGAATCATAGAATATTGAGTGGGACTCTTTAAGTTGTCTAGTGCAACATTAGAATCAAGTTCACGTGAAGTGTTAATACCACTTTACAATGCCTTGGTAAGGCCACACTTGGAATACTGCATCCAGTTTTGGTCACCACGATGTAAAAATGATGTTGAGACTCTAGAAAGAGTGCAGAGAAGAGCAACAAAGATGATCAGGGGACTGGAGGCTAAAGCATATAAGGAACGGTTGCTGGAATTGGGTATGTCTAGTTTAATGAAGAGAAGGACGATAGCAGTCTTCCAGTATCTCAGGGGTTGCCCCAAAGAAGAGGGAGTCAAGCTATTCTCCAAAGCACCAGAAGGCAGGACAAGAAGCAAGGGATGGAAACTAATCAAGGACAGAAGCAACCTAGAACGAAGGAGAAACTTCCTGACAGTTAGAACAATTAACCAGTGGAACAACCTGCCTCCAGAAGTTGTGAGTGCTCCAACACTGGAAGTCTTTAAGAAGAGACTGGACAGCCAATTGTGTGAAATGGTATAGGTTTGGACTAGATGACCTCCAAGGTACCTTCCATCATCATCGTTGTTGTTGTTATTATTATTATTATTATTATTATTATTATTATTATTATTATTATTATTATTATTACTGTTATTAACAGATGGTCTATCAGCCTTTGTTTGAAAGCTTTCCTAGGAAAAGAAGTCCAGCATGACTGTTCTAACCATACTGTTCTACTGCTTAAAAAGCCCTTAGAATCGAGAAATTCTTCCTAATACTCAAGCTGGATCTCCTGTCTTTTAATTTCAAATATAATTACATTAATTTGAAGGTAGTCGCGTTAACTTGAGGAAGTTTCAAACTTGCTTTTGCCGATTGCAATCCTTAATTCTGACCCTCTTTTTATGTCCCGTTTGTTTACTGGTTTCTTATTAATGCTCCACTGAAACTTTTCAACGTTTCAAGAGCACGGGTTCATTGCAGTTGTACGGCACTTCTCATTTCATGAGAGAAACGTCACGCTATTTTTTTCTCAGTCCTGTCAGTGAACGGCGTATCTTCTTCCCCAAAGGAGCAGATATGCAAAACAAAAAAACTAATTTGTGAAACAATTGGCACATCTAGTTAGAATGTTTGAAATATCAGACCAAAGGAAATATTTTGAAACTTTCGCTTATTTACGAAAACTCAAACCTGTTGCTTTCTTAATTTTCAAGCTAGAAGCATGATCATCTGGAATGACCTGCCCCCCGACCTACGTACAACTGCGGACCTGCGCCTCTTTCGCCGAGCCTTGAAAACCCATCTATTCCATGCGGCCGGCCTGACGTAGTTTTAATTGTGTTTTGTAGGGGTTTCTATAGGGGGTATTTTAGAGCAGGCTTTTTATTTAATATTTATTGTGATTTTTATTATCGCCTGTTCACCGCCCTGAGTCCCGTAAGGGAGATAGGGCGGTATATAAATTTAAATAATAAATAAATAAATAAATGATAGTCATTGATAAACAGAACTATCATGCAACCTGCAGAAAAATTGACAAGAGTGGATTATTGCAAGTATTTCTATAGCCCACTGTAGAAGCAATACTTAAAAACGTTTCTAAAGCCTCAAATGTTGCTTGCACAAACAGCAAAGAACTGAATCCAGAAACGAAGAAGTAGGGAATATATTCAGTTTAACAATGCATGCGAATCTACAGGAAAAATCCTCCGTTCGCTTTGAGACCTCTTTCTGTGCAGGCACAATGCACTTGGCAGTTACGCCACAAACAAAAAAAGCAGCACAATCGTGCACTTGTCAGCTCAAAAGCTCAACAATGTAACAATGCGTCTGTTGTTCACATGTACAACGCACGTTTTTGTGTTTGGCCGTTTGCTGGCAAGGCTCAATATACAAAAAGCATAATTTACTGGAAAATCTCTCAACGACCATAACAACGGGAATCTGTTATGATCCTGCACTGCACCCATTTTTGTAAGGGGCACTCTGTCCATGAAAGCACCACAGGAATTATCTATGGAGGGTCATGGACAGTGCACATTTTTGTGCTGGCCCACCAAAGAAAACACGAAGCACGTAGCAGATACATAATGCACAGCATTATATTACAATCCGTGAACTTAATTTTCATATAGAAGGATCTAATAGCAATAAACATAATCGGCCATGTACAAAAGGGTCTAGAGCAGGGGTAGGCAACCTTGGCTCTTTTATGACTGGTGGACTTCAACTCCCAGAATTCCTGAGCCAGCCATGCTGAGGGGAAAGGGAGAGGTTTCCAAGCTGAGCCATGCTGGCTCAGGAATTCTGGGAGCTGAAGTCCACCAGTCATAAAAGAGCCAACGTTGCCTACCCCTGGTCTAGAGACTCTGAGAAATGTAGTTAATGCCGTATTCTCTATTCCCTTTAACTAGTTCCACTCAATACTAACAGAGTTTAAAACCTTTGCCTGCTTGTAACTGGGCAATACAATATAAAAAGGATTTTTTTATGTATTACTTGCAGAAGATTGAAGGACTGTTTTGTGTTAGAAATGTTTGGCACATCCTGCTTTCCCGTTCAGTAGAAATGGCAGATAGAACCGAAAGCTTAATATTAAGAAATGAGGCGTGCAAAGTTCAGCTGATCAGACTTGGGTTCCAGGCCATCCAGAGTCAAGTTTTGGATTGCAGAAGACTTCCTTCCAATGAGCTCAGCAGCATTTTAACATCTGGATGCTCTCCGTTAACACGCAAAAGAAAACTGCTCATTGAAGGAAGAACCGGATGGAAACTAATCAAGGAGAGAAGCAACCTAGAACTAAGGAGAAACTTCTTGACAGTTAGAACAATTAACAACTAACTGTCAAACTTCTTGACAGTTAGAACAACCTGCCTCCAGAAGCGGTGAATGCTCCAACATTGGAAGTTTTTAAGAAGAGACTGGACAGCCATTTGTCTGAAATGGTATAGGGTTTCCTGCCTGAGCAGGGGGTTGGACTCAATGACCTCCAAGGTCCCTTCCAACTTTATTTATTTATTTATTTTATTATTATTATTATTATTATTATTATTATTATTATTATTATTATTATTATTATTATTATTATTACTACTACTATTATTATTATTATTATTATTATTAACCAAAGAGGAAACATCATCATATATCAAGACCTGTGGTACTTCCACTGCAAAATGGTTGATTTTATAAGCAGCACAAATGTAAAAGAAGAGGGAGGTCACGTACTTTAGTAGATTAAGCACTGACAGCAAATAAAGCTGAAAAGCTAAACTGAAACAAGCTTTTTCCAGTGCTGTTACTAATGATACAAGAGGCCCTATTTATTCCTATGTACTACCTCTTGTCTTTTTCACTCTTAAAAAAAAAATCCCTAATGAAGAATGAAAATTGTGGTGAGTCTTAATTGTGTGACCTGTATTACATCAGGATGTGACTCAATTTTGGACTCCGTTGCAATGATTGAAACTCCTTTAAGTTATATACATATTTCATAGGACTGTACAAATATTAGTACAAAATAGAAATTTGGATATTATTATTATTTTTTTTAGATTAGATAAACTCTATTGTCATTTTTTTCCTGTGGGCACAACGGCACACATTAAAAAAATGAAATTTAGTTGCTTGCTCTCAAAGTGTACACAACACACATTTAAAGCATACTATATACAACATATGTATAGACCCACACCCTTACGCATAAGTAACATATAAATATTAATCACTGTCCATCTTGAATGCATAACGGAAGGAGGAAGCTTTAGAGTACAGTGCAGAGAGAAACGTAACATACCTAATGGCAGAATTAAAATTTATGTTCTTATTAATTATGTTCTTCTTGTTCTCATTAAAAGGGCTTCAGAAAGTTGCATTTAATAAATGTGCCTTAGAAAAAAAGCAATCTGTTTCTATATTAATGTTTCCAAAGTAGTTATTTTATGATCGGTTCAATGTAACTTAATTTTTGCTATCTTCTTTTTTTAGGACTGTCCCACTGGGGCCTGACCAGATTCTCCTGCGTGGTGCTCAGCTGAGAAATACACAGTGGGTTCACGGGATCGTTGTTTATACAGGACATGATACAAAACTCATGCAGGTTTGTCTCCTAACTGAGAATAAACCTTATATACAAGGGTCTTTGGACATTCTGCTCTGTGTCTATGACATAATAGACAGGGCCAAAAGATATCTCATTGGATAATAAATTAAAAGCATGAATATACAGGTAGTTCTCAACAACAGTTCATTCAGTGATCCACTTAACAACTGTAGCAAGAAAGGTTGTAAAATGGGGCAAAATTCACTTAGCCGTCTCAGCAACAAAAAAATTTGTGGTCGTAAGTCAGTTGTGGTCGTAAGTCGAGGACTGCCTGCACAAAAGAACACTTAACACCATGGGCTTGCTCTACAGATAAAAAAAAAAACAGTTGTCCATCATTATTATTGGGGAAATATGTTGGTATCGTTTGACACATATCAAGGTTATATCCTTGGGTGTGTCAGTGCACTAAATAAACACATGACTCATAAATTAATAAAAGTATGCATTTATTTTACTGTCAGATTAAATCAACAGTAATTTATAGGACAACATGATACGTTAAAGACAATCAAGCTTCTTATCACATGCATTTCAATCATTTGTTAATCTTTAAAGTGCCACAACACTACAAAATCTAATGTAGCTATTTCTGGCATTTATTTCAACAGTAGTTCCTATTTTTTCTCATTGATACCTCCAATGGAATGTATCGCTCAAGTTAAAACTGCACCATGTTTTTCAAGCCTGCATAGAATAAGCTATATCAGTAATTGACGTGAATATTTAGGATCATTAATCAAGGCATGAAAATATCCTTAGAAATTAAAGAAAAACCAAAATAGCATACGAACGTCATAATTTACTTGTGGACCCTCTATCTCCTCCACAGAACTCAACGAGCCCACCTCTTAAACTGTCAAACGTGGAGAGGATCACAAATATACAAATTCTGTTCCTGTTCTGCATTCTTATTGCCATGTCTCTGATCTGTTCCATTGGGGCCGCTATATGGAATCAAAAACACGAAGGGAGAGACTGGTACATCAACCTCACCTGTAAGTGTATTAAAACAAGTGTATTTTTTCCTGCCATAATGATACCTGTCTTACTTTATGTCTACAAAGTAAAATAAATGCGTGACACACCTTTGTATTTATAACCGTGTAAAACAATATTATGGTTAATATTGACTAAAGGTTTTAAACGGATTTTTTATATAGTTGGTAACCTCAAGAATTGTGGGTATACACTTGCATATACATGGCATCGGACCTGGATATCTCCGAGACCGCCTTCTGCCGCAGGCTACCTCCCATCGGCTGGTACGCTCCCACAGAGTGGGTCTCCTTAGGGTGCCGTCAGCCAGACAGTGCCGGCTGGCGACCCCCAGGGGGAGGGCCTTCTT